AGGGGACACAGCTGGGACAGCTGACCCCAGTGATATTCCAGACCATAGGACGTCATGATCAGCATATAAAGCTGGGGGGACACACGTTCATGTACGAAACATGTTCATTTCTAGACAAGCATAAAGTTTGGGCAGCCATAGCAGTTTGGCCCAAAAAGGTATTTTGACAGCATGGGCTACTAACTATATATTTTGTTCATGAGTTGTCACTGGACATTATTGGCTCGCATTGTATTATCTTTTCAAGGAAAAGCTTTGTAAAAACTGTTCGAGCTTCACTGAGACACGTTAAAGAATTAATTACAAAGTAAAGCTGAAGGAGAAAATTAATTTTGGAAACACAAGAGGTTACTTTTCTTTTCCTCCCTGTTCTGGAAGTGGGGGAGGAAAGGCAGTTATTTTCATCTTCGTGCTGGAGGCCAGAGTTGGGAGCTGTCCAGTCGATAACCTGACCATCAGAACAAGGTTTGTAATTAAAAGGTCAGTGACCTGGAAAGTCAGAGCCTCACTCTCAGGGCTCCTCAGTAATGACGGCGCTATTAAATTAAGACTGTTATGAAATCAATGCTAAAAAAGCTTTCATGGTAACGAGATTCCATTCAAGGACATGCAAACTGCCTCATGAAATGGACTTAAATTATAAAAAAGCAATAAAAGAGGGTGAAATTGAAATCTGCTGAAGAATTTGCTTTCTTTAACACCCTCAGAACTGGGTTGTGCCCCTTCTCTTGGGTGCTCAAGGCAATCCACTTGGGTTTCTTCGGCAAAGGAGAAAAGACAGTGGTTCAACTTCCAAGAATGTAGAGGAAGAAGAAGAAATGAAGTCAGTTTTCTAATGGAGATTCTGGATCTGACAGCATTTGTTTTGAGGGAATCTTGAGGTCTGGTTGGGAAGGAGCATGTACAATTAAATCATTTATTCACCTCTTCAGACATCACCATAGCCTGGCATCTCAGCACTGGCAGCATTTTGTGGAACTCTGGTGCACTGCAAGAAAATGTGCAAGACCCACAGGAAACCCTTGGGTAGTAACTCACCTCCTACCAGCCAAAGTAATGAAACAGATTAGGAGATACAACATGTAAAAGGGTAACACTTCCAGCAACTTGCAGCTCACCTCACCAAGCTAGATCATGAGTGCTTTTGGAAGCATGGAGCCCATTTTGGAGGCATGCAGCCCATTATATTACTTATATATACAAAAAGCCAGTCCAGGCAGCGCATCGTGAACACCGTCCAACCTTCTGGGTGGATGTTTTCCCAATGTAACTCAACAATTACACATTTACTTGCCCTAATGCACTTCTGTTCTCCCCTCACTATTATTTCTGAGCTGCTCATAAGCTTTTGCCTGTTCCCACAATCCCACTTTGGGAAGGCATTACTGTACTCATTTTACAGATAAAGAGAACAGGCAACTAAGAAGAAAAAGATTCTTCATCCAAGATCACACAGTAAGTCTGTAAATCGAGCAGTTTTTCCCTTCTGTGCCCCAAAGGATCAGCACCCTGAAAGACTGAGCTCCACATGCATAGTGCACTTCCACCCCCTTTCTCTATCTTGCCAGAAGTTACAGATCCAGAGTAGACAAAATTAACAAGCCACATGAGTTACCGGATGGGTAACTGAGCAGTACAGGACATCTGAGGCACAACAGTTAGATGACAGACACATTTCCACAAGGGTTTAAACCCCACATGCTGTCTAATTACTCCCAAGGCGCCGCTGATTCTGTGGTATGTCATCAGCAGAATCAGCGAGTTGGACAAAAAACAAACAGCATCTTTTTTTCCTTTCTTTTCTTTCAGATACTCTGAGGGGAAACAGCTGTTTTTTTCCCTTCATCTGAAGAAGTTCATGATAAAAAGGAGGAAATGTCATAAATTACACAAAATGCCAGTGTAAGCTTCAAAGAAAATTATAAGTGATTCTAATAACTTAATGTTTCTCATTAATTCCTCTCTATTTGAGAGTTTAAAAGTGCTTAAGACAACAGAGAAATCTCATCCAACTTTTGAAAGGCCTTTTACAAATCCAGGACACTCTCATTCTCCCAACTGTCATCAACTATGCTCCCAACTATCATCCAAAGCCCTGACCTGCAAGTAACCAGGAAAGGCTACTTTCAGCCTCTGCCCCTACTGTCACACAAGAAGCCAAACCTAGTCCAGCTGATGAGCCTGCAGACACTTTCATTTCTCACCGCACTGAAATGTATTAAACAAAATCCAGTGCCTACATTAAATACTAAATAATAATAAAAGGAAATTAAATTTGATTGGCCTTTTTTAGGAAGGAGATGCTTATAAAAAAGGAAAAAAAGAATGTAATTCAAAGCAGAACCATCTCTGCAAGTCTCACAAGTGGAATTTCTTAGGCAAAATTAGGACTGCAGGACATGAAAGCTCACCCACAGCTAATGCTTCAGTCCTGTCCCTGTAGCCGGGGTAGAGGAAGGCTGCTGCAGGGGTAGGGCACCTGGTCTTTTCCTTCTGCATTCACAAAAATGATTATCCCCACTTCAGGAGTTTTTAACCAGACTTAGTGGGGAGTCACAGACCTCTATAGTATGGGTCCGTAAAAGTAACTATAAAAGACAAGTTCATACAAGGTGTACAACTATCTAGATATGCACATTCCCCTCTCCTGAAATTCTTCTGGGGCCCATAAAAAGATCTGCTACTGCAATTTCTGCTTGAAGAAACTCGGATCAGAGTAACAGTGAAAAAAATACAAGGGTACCTCTGCATTATTTTCTACAGAGATAATTTTAAAAGAGACTCTTGTAACTGAAACGGTTTCTATACAGAAAATGCTTTTTTGGCTGGCAGTGAGGACTTCTATTCCAGGCAGCCTCACTATCTGTAAGGGATAAATATCACTGAGATGACCATGACTGTATATCAGAGAATAGGGGGAACAGCCCACCAAACCATGTAATGCCCCCTTTACTCAGGACTACATTAGCCACAACATCTACATTTCAAGAATAATTGCCTCCATCTGCTAGAGCACATAGGGACCATGACAGTATGTACCTCCTGCTCTCAAGCACTGAACAGAGGTCACAGTTAAGCTCAGTGGTCAGATTCCATATGGGTATATTTCCAGTGACTGCTGGGTACAGGCACCACTGGACCCTGCTCCCTCCTATCTCCTACTGCTAAGTTTTCAAATAAACAATTAGCACAAAGGGAAGGAGGGCTAATTAACAAACAGGAACAAACAAACAGCTCTACCAAACCATTTCTGCTCTTTAGTAATTATTAGCCAAGTAATTCATAAGAAGTATTATTCGGGCCACAGTTTCTCTGTGCCTCCATCTCCCCACCCTTCCTCTTCTCCCAGTCAGGGATTTATTAAAATTAAACAGATTAGATGGAGCTCCTGATACTAAAAACTGTTCAGCGAAGCCTGCGGTGGGGAAGTGCAGCGCAAACACCAGAGACATTTGTCTCTAAATTGCTCTAAATACCTTCTGCAAATGAAATTCTAACCCAGCTGTGTTGAGAGAGAAAATGAGGAATAACTGGTCATTGTCAGCACAGAAGAAGATCAGGCAGTTATAATATTGCACGATATACTTGGGGCTAAGGATCTCTCGGCAACAATAGATTTTGTATCAGGTTACCCCGGGTAATCAGCACAGCTTTTAGGCTCAGCTTTCCCTTGCTTCATTGCTTCGGTGATAGAGTTGAAATCCCCAAGCTTTTATGATTAATTACTCCCCATAGGTCCACATATTTCAAGGAAAAACTCATGGAGCACAGCGGCCAACAGGCTCCAAATTTTAATGCCAAACTGTAATGGTAGGGTAAGGCAAGCAACGTACCTACGCAACTGCAGCGCTCTCTAACTGGCATCAGGACAAGCAGTGAGGGGATCACATGCAAAAAGATGTGCCCATGAACTACTTGTCATGACATCACTGCTAAAACACTGAACTGCCATTCCCTTCTACACCCTTCACTATTCAAGAAGAGCAAAACGGTTCATAAACTTGAACTCTCCATCTCATGACATCAGGCCTCTTAACAAACAGTTTGGAACCCCAAACACAATAATATATATTTCATAGGCTTCTCTACTTTTTAAAACTCAAGATCTTTAGCTATAGAATTTGATGTACCCTATGGTACTTATGACTTCAATGTATAAGTAGGTCACTCCCCTCTGAAGTTTGGAGTTTGTATTTTCAGTACCACTCCAACTGCTTAAAATACTCCATAATGAATGTAATTAACCCCAAGGTAAGATTATTTACATGTTGTGGTAAGGATCTAAGCAATATGGTCCCACGAGGGTAGCATAATATGGACTGAACTTCACCTGAAATGCACTGTAAGTTGTGGACTAAAAACTTTAGAAGGAAAGAAAGGAAAAAAAAACCCAAACCCAAGAACAAAAGATAGTTCTGTTATGAGTCAGAAAGTAAAATAAATTCTCAGTAGGCAATGGGCAAAGTATGTTCCATCTGTCTCAGACGATATAGGATGTGTCAGGATCTGTTCTATCCCTGCTACAGGAAAGGGCTAAACTCAGCCAGTAGTTTACCATTTCAGCCTGAAAGTCAGGTTGACCCCAAGCTTGACCTTAGCCCGACCTTGTTTACTTTCACCAAGTCCTTTGCCCTTCATTCCTCTCTTCAGAAACATTCGACCTTTTCGCCTAGAAGCCGGTCATTCTAAAGCCAATGTCACGAAGGTTAGAACTGACCAGCTGGTTCACAACTCTAAACCGTCCTTATTGCAGAGAAGATCTGATAACAGTTAACCCAAAAACTTCCAGTGTGCCTTCTGTAGTCTGTAATTCCACATCTGGTGCCAATATTGTCAGTTCAGAAGAGACTGATATTTCTTACAAACGTCAAATCTTTTCTGGAGACAGACTTTGTCCTTTGTACTTTGTCCTTAACATCTAATTTTCCATAGCAATACATTTTGGTTTTACATTAACTCAAGCTCTCTCATTACCACTAAAACCACAAAAGAGTCCGTACCTTTCTTCTTCAGAAATGCTCTTCTGGATGCAATAGGACTTTGGCGGACTCGTGGATTCTGTAAAAACTTCACTGCTGTCACAATCTGATGAGGGTAGGAGGGTTGGAAAAACAGAAGAGAGAAAAGATCCAAGTTAGGAATGGTCAAACTCCTATTTCACATTATGTATTTTGTACTGCAAAGTAAAGGCATCGCACCCAACACATGGAGATAGTCTGGAGCTGACAGTGATTCAACTTCCAGAAATGATTCAACGAGCATCACAGGCTGTGGCTCAACTCAATCAGACAGCACAATTACGGTATTTCAACCTAGAGATTTTCTTGTTGAATTACTCTTGAATAGCTCATCCTGTACAAAAAACCCTGTTAAGATTCTTTGGGGTTTATACATTTGACATGTGATCTTTTTACCTACATTGGTGCCTATAGTTAAGGGCAACCTGGAGCCAATGCATGTGACTGGTAACAGCAGGCTAACTAGTAAGAATGCTTCCTTTCTATGACTTAAAGCTCCCTGCAAATTCTAAGAGATTAAGGCCTTTTCTGCCATCAAATTTGCTGAAAGCAATAAATAAATAAACCTCAGCTCGTCATGACTGGGAAAGAAGCAACTTCACGTGTTTTGGATCACATTACAAAAATACCATGAAAGTCACTTTTCAGTACATGAATGGATAGGTGACAAGTTAAATTTACATTCCACACCAGCAGAAATCACAGATTACTTTTGTCTAAAGACTGACTTCTACATCCTTCAAGGTGACAGAGCACTTGTACCACTTATTCAAGCAAAGGGTAAGGTATGAGATATCTGATACTCAATGGCATCAATGACAATGGCACTGGTTTTCTGCATTTCCATTTAGTGCCAATAAAAGGTGTTTGATGTTTTTCTTCACATGGTAAGTCAACTTTTCACATCCTCTCCTACACTATTACGCACATTATTACATGTTGCTGCACTGGTGATTCCCTTTACCTTCATACAAAAACATCAGTTCTGATTGTAGCATTGGGAGAGTCATGTCCCTGAAGTTAAGAGCACTCAGGAGATAGATACAGCCATGTGAACTAGTGGAAGAGATCACTCCCCTCCTTTAGAGCTGAAAATGCATATGTATGGAAGAGGATTTCTCCCCAGACACTGTCATAAACCTTCTCCTAAAATGGTGAACTGCAGAACTATGTCAGGTAGGTCTTGTAGAGTTTCTGGAATTCAGTTCCAAAAAGGTTTTCAAAACTTTTCATAGCAGAAAAGGAAGGGGAAAAAAAACCCCACCAGTACTGCTGAAATCACCAAGTTTCACTTTGTGTTTGAATCAAACCCTTCAAATATGCATTTCTGGTCAGAGAGCAAAGTTCTGATGGGTTTAATGGCACTTTCAATGTACTCCTCAGTGCATTCCATCAATGTTTTTTTTCTTTTAAATTGCATCTCTTATTTCTTTAAATACATTAATCAGGCTAGTGTAGGCAAAACGGATCCATTGGACAATGCAATAAACATGAATTATCATCTATCCAACATGCATAATGGCTTAAAAATACATAATAGCAGGTGTAGTTTAAATGATTAGTTATTACACCTGTGGTGGGTCTGATTCAATTGGGGAAAATCATCTTTAATAGGTTAAAAGGTTTAGATCACCAGGCTTCCCTTAAAGTGGCTGTAGAGAGGGTATGATGGAGTACGCTGTCATTACTAATTCATTTAAGAAAAACATGGGGGATACAGCAAAGAACAGCATAAACGAGCGAATCCAATTTAAACATCAGGTAAAGCAGAAAACACCTTTTAAAAAAGCATGATAAATGAATTTGGAAGAGAGATGAAATTGACATATTTATTTTAACGGGAATTTGACAAAGTCCCAGCACACTTTGAAGTTGGGAGGAGAAAATGAATGGGGTATTTTTAATTCTTTGCCTTTTCTTATTTTCCTTATTTTTTTTCCCCCCTTAAGTTTACATTCAGTAATTCTGAACCATAAAACACCAGCACAAAATACCCCCCATAAAGTACACTTCAGCTTCATTTATGTGCACTTGATCTGTCTCCAGCTGAAATGCAGGTGACAGGCAAATCACAGATTTAGACTGTGCTGATACTGCTACGCCAGATGCAGAAATACAAAGTGCCCAAACTAATAACCTTAAGATAATCTGCTGAATAAGAAAGATGCCCAAATGAGCAGACCAACAGATACGTGAACATATCAAACCCACTTTCCTTCTAATAATAATTACTTGTTTGTTTCTTCAGAAACTCCTCAACACTCCCTCCCACATTTAGCAAGCTAGAGACACAGGCACAGCAGCCCTGAAATTCTGCAAGCTCCCCTATCTAATTATCAAGGTTTGAGCACTAAAAACCTGTAAGAAAGAAGCAGTATTTTTCACTGTGCTATTTCGGTCCCAGCCATGGGCACGTTTTACTGATTCAAACCCTTTATTAAAACTTATTTTTGCCTTGTAAAAATGTAAACATTTCAGTAGTAAATTTCACTCCAAAATAAACTTGTATTTTATCTTGCCCCTGCATCGCTTCCTCCAGTGATTGCAACGTTTTTAATCTTAAACCAAAATAAAATGACAAGCAACAACAAACTTCAGGAAAAAAGAATCCTGGAAATGTATTCCTCTTCCCAATAATCCCATGTTTCTCATATCTGTGTTTGCATTTACCTCTGAACATTCCTCCTATAGGCTAAGCTGAAACTTCGTTTTTACAATTCATCTTGTATACATGAGCACCTTATGAAGCAATTTTGGCCGTGTCAAAATGCCAATATTTTCAACAAACATACACACCAACCTCTCTGCCTTCTATGGATCATTTTCTTTGCACAAACAAGGGCAACTGCAGTCCGTAATTTAAACAACAGAAAAAGGAGGAGGATCATGAGAAGTCTTTGCAGCCCTGTGGATAGCCAAAAAAATCCTGCAGCAAATAGCACTCTGACTCAGCTGGTAACATTGTTCCATACTATTTCTGTACCATTTGTAACACTTCTCCAAATTTTTATGGTATTAGGACACTGCACAAATAATGTGCATTGTATCACTCCTCTGATTCTTAGATTGCCAGCACACACTAGCCAGAAAACTAGTTTTATCTAGTGGATCAGGTACGTAGTTCTCCTAATAAAAGATGCTGGATTTGGCTTCTAAAAGCAAGTGAATCCCATAAACTCACTATCCCACCTCTTCTGCAGGGATATGATACAAAAGCCTCCTTTCCGACTGGGTGGTGATGGGTGGAACCCTGCAGGAGGTCCTATCCTCCAGTTTGATTTTCTAATTAGAAAATGAATGCAACTTCTCTTAGATAACATTTGTGCCTGACCAAATTACATAAATTCAGGCCAAATATTCTGCTTCAATGTCAAAGATATAAAAGAGAGACAGGAACTTTACTGCAGATGTTGTGGGAGTGCAGCAGGCTGGCAACATCCTGGGCCAACGCACAGCGCTTTGACGTTACAGCCAAGGTCCCTCATTCCTAATTTCCCTCCCTTTTGCGTTAATGGGGAAGGTAAGCCCAGCCTTATTTATTGCTATGCTCAAAGCTGCAGGGTTTCCAATGAAACAATCTAAGCTACTTTACCAGTTACTAGCACTAGAAAAAATAAACCATCACATTTAAAATACTCTGGCAAATGCCCACTTTCTACCATCTCAAGAAGTAAAAAACCCCAAACTCAATCAATTAATGAAAACATAAAATATCACCTTCATCAGTGAAAGTTCCACAGGATTTGGTAACAGAGTTCCACGTGGAAAACGGAATTAAAAGCCATCAGGAGCACAGCCCATAAGAGCTCTAATAGATTTCCTAATCCTGGGAACCCTCTGTAGGTTATTACTAAACAGCATTTGTTGACAGACTGAGACTTTGAGATGACCTGTGATGTAAAGGTTGGGTCTGAATTATACGTTGCAAGGGACAGTATTTTGTCTTTCTGAATGGATCTGTATCTGTTTAAATGCAACACTTCTTTTCATTAAGCAGAGGCGGCACAGGCCATGAACTATGCACAGCCAGTTTACATTACATGTGCGGAAGCAATCAACGCTGGCAATATACATGACGTATGTAAAAGAAGTTGGAATTAATTTTTTCTCAGTGTATTAAAAAATAATAATATGGCCGTATCAACAAACACTCAACCTATTTCAGCCAGAGCAGAAGGCCACAGCTATAGGGCAAATGGAACTGATCAATACATTAGCCTACAGCAACACCCCCTCAGTGTAAAGCTGTGTGTTTGCAAGGCTCAGAAGATTAAATTGTCTGTGAAAGGTTCCTGCACTCCTACTCTAAAGGAGATACCCAGAATCCTGTTAACAAGCATCAGGCTAAAGCCAGCTTACGTTTTAACAAGGGCTGACTTAAAAGCCTGGCACTGCAATGAACAGGAAACCCCCTTCAAACAGAAATGCTGCATTTTAGTAAGAAATCAGTGCTCTGCCAGGACCGACTTGACAAATATGGTTATCGGTGGCACACGGAAATAGTTGCAAAGCAGCTGTTAATCAGGAAAACACATCATAGAACGCTGATGCTAGCACTCAGGAAAAAATGCAAGGGGCTAATTATGAAGCTATATATCTCACTAAAGAGGCACCGTTCCCTGAGATTCCAGGCAGAGCTCTCTCCGATTGGGGATCCTGGGACACTATGTACACATGTCTCCTCCCAGGACAAACCTTTTCCCAATACAGTGTTCCGAGCCCCAGAATTTCTGTGACATTTCTATTTCACAGAAACTGATTGTTATTTCTAAAGCAACTACCTACAGGTCGGGCAGGAGAGAGGAAACACTTTAAAGCTCCTATGATTTCATTGACATTTTTATGAAACCACACAGAACCCCAGGAATTATTTCTGTTGTGGGAGGACCTGGAAACCTGCAAAGTTTGGCAGACCTCAAAGTCGTACTGAGAAAAGTTTAAAAATGCAATAACAACAATAAAAAGAAACCCTCATGTAAAACAGAGCAAAGGAAAAAATACGATTTAAAGCAAAATTCACAGGAGTCAGAATGAGAAAAGAACAAAGGCAAGAAACAAGCTTCAAAT